GTTAATCAGCTAATCAGCGTAATAAACCTGATAAAACGGGCCACTCGCTCTAGGCCCAGGGGAGACGCTGAGCTGAGAATGCCCCCCCCCAGGGGTGGCTCAGGGGACCGAGACAATGGAGGGCGGACGTGGCCTCGCGCGGGGGGGGGGTTACACTCGGTGGCGTTTCTGCACATCCTGGAAAAACAGGAAATGGCTGCGAGTGTTTGTCCGAGACCCCCACGTCAGGGCTGGTGCTGTAGCCTGACTCTCATACAACAGCATAGAAGGAATGTTTTTGATGGGGTGGGGGGGGGGCTCTTTATGAGGAGTCGGCATGGCTGCAATGAGGCCCCCTGTTTCCTTAAGGTGCCGGGTACGTGTTACCAGAAACCCACCCACTGAGTCCCCTGCGTGAACCTACTGCCTCCATTCAATGCTAGATAAGAGTGAATATCCCCCTTAACTGGAACAGCTTCCTCAGGCAGGGGAGGGGGCCATATCAGGATAGCATATGTTTTCTCATGGGGGTCCTTTCACATTTGAGATTAAACCTTCTACCCATTTACGCAGTTGGATATTAACTTAGGCCCAAACTGCCGGACTCAAGGGTCCCTCGCGGGAGTCCCCCACCGCTCCACGGTCAAATCCCTTGGATGAGGAGAAGTTCCACTATGGTGGAGCTCGAGAGACCCCTCGATGGTGCGTCAGTGCTCGAAGAAAGCGTGGAGCTATGGGACGGAGGTACGGATGACCAAAGGTGAGCAGAGACTGCGGGTGGCTGGCGTGCCGCTTGATCAGTCCGGGGGAGTCTGCTAGCATCATACCGGAGACCATTTTCTTACGCATTGTGAAAACCTCCCATCTGCTTTTCCGGAAGTCATTAAGCCTCAGTCCCTCTGGATCCCTACCTCCATTTTTTTCTGTTAGTTCCGTAAAAATTCCCCCTGACTTTATATCCCACAGGTTGCATATCTTTCGACCGGAGGGCTTTTCCTGAACGAGCCAGACCTGCCCCTCGCTGGTGCAACAACAGCTGCATAGCTGGTAGTCAAGCACAAAGGAGTTTGGCACGGTCCAGAGGCCTGGCAGGAGACTGGGGCGCGCCAGTAATCCTTCCCAGCACCTGCGCGATGAGCGAAGCAATACAAGAAACACGACGGCGAGGTTTTCCTGCGCCGCTCCGGTCGAATGCGACAAGCCGTGGGACCCAAGGAATCGCATGGAACAAAGACGGGAACGTAACACACAAACATGGCCTCAAGGCGATAAGACGAATGCCGCAATCCAGCCTCAGAGCTCTACAAGTATCACCCCCCCGAGCACACCTAACCGAAATTAAATCAAATGGATACCCCCCCACCCAACCCCGTGCTCACTGTAATAGCCGACAAGCCTGCAGATCTTATTGGGTTATGAATTAAACAAAGAAAAGGAGGAGTTTTTTTTTCGCCGTTTCCTTGGAAACCGATGGCGCAGAGCTCAACTTTGACATCTGACTGGTGAAAAGGAATTACAGAGCCCAGAATATCAGGGCAGAAAGAGGCTTATTAGAGGACATGAAAAAGCCACAATCTATTTTTCCGCAGAAGATTCAGATGACAGGAAAAAAAAGAAAAATTCAGAAAACCATGCGTTTAGGGATAGAAGAACATCAGGTGATCATGGTGATTTGGTTGGTGTCTTTAAGAGAGCATCCGCTGACACACTTGGATGCAGCTCAAATTTCAGTGGTGAGACAGTGCAGTGTGTGTGTGTGTGTGGGGGGGGGGGCGGGTTACTTGGCCAGGTACAAACACTCTCCTTCCTCCCAGTCCTTCCTCCATAACCTGACACTTTCCCAGAATCCTTTGCCTACATTCTGCCAAGGCATGCCCTGTCTCCACCCATCCTCCGCGTGGACAATGGGAGGGGGGGGGGTTGTCATGGTGAAACGGCGACACTACAGAGCGGACCCTGGGAGATGGAGCATTCTCATGACGGGGGCAGCCGCGGGGGGTTCCACTCCCGCACAATGGGACCTCGGCCCCCGGTAGAAATGATATACCACTGGGGTGCCTTCTGTGATTTATTTTCTAAGCAGGAGGTCAGAATCAGCTCTCCAGGCTTGTTCTGTGAGTGTGGAGCGGGAGATCCGGTCTGATTTCGGTGCTAGGATCCCACACCCAGCCCTGAGCTCCGGGCCACAAACCTGTATCCACTCCTTGTTGGAGTCTTGCGCCGGGGTCCAGCCGTTCTCATGGTAGTTGAGGCGCGAGCGGCCAGCGGACCAGTTGCTGTTGTACTGGGAGGAGGCTTTGATCTGCCTGCCTGTGATCTCGCCCGACTCCATCCCCAGCGGCTCCTTGCACACATAGTCTGCCACGAGCAAGAAAAGACAAGCCGAGTGAGGTCTCTTAGACCCTTAGGCAAAGCATTATGGGAAATAAACACTCTGTGCCGGTAACCGTGATGAGATGTGCACTCTGAGCGGTTATACCCCACAAACATAGCCATCGGCATGAGCTAACGTACCATCTTACATTACACTCATTATAAATGCACGTGTGTGTTTGGGCAGGTTTATGATACAAAATCAGGTTGCGTATGATTGGATGCAAACAGGCAGCTCTTGAATTACATGAAACTGGCTTGCGTCAGTCTAGACTTCGGCAAAAAATACCCGAGATACACTGAGTTCACGGAAGCACTGACGCATACTTTTTTGACTTAGTTTTTTGCTATAAGGTATCCTGAATGGTATGAGGTGAGTTCGACTTATATAAAGTAATAATATAATAACATTTATATAGCACCTTTCACAAACCCAAGGTTGTTTTACAAGGGGATGGGATAAAAAACACATGAAGCAGAACAGGGAGAGAAATGTTCATTAAACAGGACAGTTTTTTTAAGTTCGACTTAAAAGTGGAAAGTTATGAACAGTCACGGAGAGACTGGGGAAGAGAATTACAGGGTTTGGGGGGCAAAGTCACTGAATGACCTGCCACTCATAGCGAGAAACTCACGTAAGATTTGACTTGGGCAAGGGTTTTTGTGACTGGTTACTCGCGTCAGTCGAGGGCTGCCTGTAAGGTTAGGTCCGCATGTTTCTGTGTGGGTGTGGGTGAAGTGCATGGGGCCAGACCGGGAAGCGGCGTTCTGAGAAACCCAGATGGATAATCCTGAGACACAAATCTCCCGGATGGAGCTCATCTCTGTGAAGCAGGCCCTTCAGAAAACGACCCTGACCCAAAGCCTGACTGCTGCATGGCGTGTCGCTGTGGGTGATTGAGGGTCACTTTAAATGAGCCATTTGACGCCGTTTAGAGAAGACAGAGTCTCTATGGACGCCAGCGCAGAGCCCAGTGGGTATCTATGGCCACTTGTGGTAAAAGCTGATTTCAGTCACCCTTGACGGTGGATGCATATAAAGCCATATTAAAAAAAAACCAGAACGAAGCAGCAAGCTTGTGCAGGAGACGCCGTCCGTTCATCTATGTGCTACGCTAATAGCATGGTATAGCCCATCACTGCTACGCTAAGCTACATCAGGCGGTTAATGACGTTTGAGCTACATATGATATGCTCTCCTTCATCACGAGTTAACTAAGCAGAAGATTCTGTAATGCTACGCTACATCAGGTGCTAATGAAGCACCATTCTTTAATTAACATATCTTACTTAAAGAGTTAACGGAGCAGAGTGCTCTTATAGCTGTGCCACACGTGAACAGCCCCGCGCCGCAGTTAAGGGACTGTGCTGCGTTAAATGCGCAGCCGTTAAGGGGCCATTTATATGCGCATTTCATGCAGTGCAGCTGCAAATCCTAATGGCCGGAAACGTCTCAAAGGACTGATACCTCTGGACTTTGAAACTATATGTATTCATTTATTGCACTCCACACCAAATTTGCAAATCTCCCCACCAATCAGGTGGTTAAATGTATCTCTTTCCCTTAATGGCCCTCATATCCATCCATCCATCCATCCATCCATCCTCTAAACGACTTGTCTTATGCAGGGCTGTGGGGGTCCAGGCACGATGTGGGGAATAACCCATGATGGGGCACCAACCTGCTTCATATACACCATTCATAGTCCAGCAACTCCAGTTCAGCTTAGAATTATTTTGGGGAGAAACCTGAATACCCAGAGGAAACCCCTCCCCACTGATAAAGGGAGAACATGCACAGCCCACACATGGGGAACCACGGCAGAGATCTGAAGGCTAGTCCCTAAAATGGACAGTGCTCACCACCATACAGCCCAGGGTGGAATTTCATCTTGGTGTACGACGTCACACATCATGTGCCTGAAACTGTCAACGAAGGTCCTTCAAGTTGGCGGCTACTTGACGCGTACCTTCAGGAACCGTCCTCCTGACCACGCTGAAGTTGGCTGAGAAGCCCTCTTTGGCGACGGCGTTGTCCGTGTTGAGCGTCATGGAGAGGATGCCGGTGTAGGACACGATGCGGCCCGGCGAATCCTGTCCGCAGTAGCGGCCGATGTGCTGGCCCACTGCCGGGAGAGAGGGGGGAGAGAGCCCCGTGCTGTCACACCCGAATGCTGGCTCACCGCACGTCCCACACACACCACATGTTGTCACACGACGACACCAGCTCCATTTTTATTTACCCTCCAACCTCCAGAAGATGTTTTAACAAAATATCTAAAAGGAGGTCATTTATTCTGTCCTCAAACAAAATAAAGCATTTGAAAAGAAAAAAATGAAGTTCAGCTGTAGATCTGTAGATATTCAGTGTATTTAACCATACGGGACACAAACTGCGCCCTTTGATAAGGACGCCGACCAATCATGCTGCTATCATCACCTGGTTGAAAAATGGCACAACCTTGGATTAAATAGCTTGAAGAGACTTGGGAGACGCGTTTCCCTCTGCAATCTCAGGCTCCATTCTATCCTTGGCTTTCCAGTGCTCAGAAATAAAAGGGATAATGATTTGGTGGGAGAGATGAACCCCAAGGATTTCAGGGACAGTTTTTATTAGGACTTTGAATCCAGGAGAAAATAGCTTTCATTTTGATCTGGGTCAGCGTGGTCAGTGTATTTGTGACATATGTTGGCATAAGCCGCTACAAATCCTTTGCAGGCAAAAAGACCCTGACCGTCGTTAGCTTCAGCCAAAGCAAAAAAAAAAATAATAACACTTGTCTGACATGTAAATTAGGTCCCCGGCATCTTTCTGTTGGCGTGGATTTCACCTCACCTTCCCTGCCGGGTCAGCGGCGAGTGCCACAGTGACCGTGTAAAGGCCACCGCTGTCAGGGAGCCAGGAGTGCGGGGGGGGGGCGTGCAAAATGGCAGCCCGCGGAACGAGAACCGCTAAACCCTGCGGGTCTCCTGCAGCACGGCGCTGAAGGCGAACGGCACCGCAGGAAACGGGGTCCGACCCATTACTGGCTCCCGGGGAGTTAAAGAGGATAAAAAGGGTACTGGGGTAGCTGGCAATGGTGAGAACCGGATCTCTGCTTATCTGTCGGGTCATTTAGGAAGAAATAAACAATAACCCGGTCAGAAATGGCTGCCGTCTTTGTGCTGAGGT